AAAGTGACGCCCACTAGAGTGGCGAATTACGATCCTCTTGCCTCACCCTGTCAGACCATCATTTACAGGAAGATTTGGACGTGGCCCTTAGCCATTACTGAGTTTGGGGAGGACTTCGTAAGGGAACTTCAATCGAGAAACCCCAAACGGAGGGAACATCATCTGTGCAAGCCTGAAGGGACAGAAAGGAAACCACCCAGACGATGTGTCAGCTGCTACGCATTAGCAAATATTCACGGTGACTCATGCTTGCGAGCATTGGTCCAAAGTCAACACAATTTGTTGTCGCTGTGAAAAAAAATATTACTGCCTTGATTGTTCTGACAAAATACACGAAAATGCTTGCTCTACTATTTGCACACCATGTGCACTATTATTTATATGAAATTACTAGAAAACGAAGAAAAACCACAAAACGGGCAAAAACCCGTGTATATACTCGAGAGTGCACGCCACCCCTTACATTTTAAGAAAATTGGAAGTCGGCCCAAACATACCTGCTTTCCAAAAGTAAGTCGTTCACCGACTTTGCCTTCTTTCCACGCGAAGACCATGGGGCCAAGATCATCATGTTTGATACGTATATTGGACCTCAGTGATATGCTCAGCGATTGCAAGAAGTGATCTACATTCTCGATAAAGACGTGAGGTTGTGCCAGGACCACTACTGACAGTTCGCCAGATAGCTGTAATTGAGCATTTCTACATGCGCCTGCCCACTTATGAACCATAAGAAAGCGGGATCCCTTCACGATTCAAAAGCACATGAAACTTACGATCTTCGTATTCACTTCACAATCTCCGCCATCAAAATCACATTCTTCGCGATTGCACTCATCATCACAAATACCATTGTGCTTTTTTGCTTCGCAATCTTTCGAACACTTGGGCGCTTTAGGAAGACAGTCAAATCCATCGAATAGACATCTTTCGTTGTTGCAAATCTGAAGTAAACACGTTTGTCAATTTCAGGTATTGACGTCGCTCCAGACATAAAGAAGCTCAAATGTACAAATTCACAATGAGAGGTTAGAGGTGAAGAGCTTTTCGAAAGTCCGCATTCAGGATGATAATGGTAAAGAATCTTGACGAGTAGTCGAGATCTCGGAAATAAAAACTTTGACCGCCAGGACTTCTGACCTTACTGCAGCTGAAGAGGGTCACTCAGCTTAAACAACCTTGTGACAGCTGTATATTTTTTTTCTTCAATATGGTTAGACGATCACAACCTACACGGCATCGGCTTGGGGAGCGCAAGAAGGCAGCGTCAAAATCTCGCGATGACGAGCGTTGACGCGCGCCACTGCTGCAGTAGCACTCCAAAAGGAGGCGTCACAAACCTGAGCGCGGCCACACACGGGTGTCGATCGGCACCGGCAGCTAGAGAGAGTATAGGACAACCGGGGGTAGACGTTCTGACAATAGATTAGTACCCATATGCACCAGCTGCTAGTGTTCTGAGAGAGTAGAGAAGAATAGAAGAACAGGAGGTACCATAATGTGTGGTGAGATATGCGCACCTTCCTGTTCTCCACTACTTTTGAAACACTAGCAACCGGCGACGATCGGTGCCCGCCTACGGCTGCTTTCCCGTTCTAGCATTGGGGTTGTCGCAGAAGTAACGCGTCAACGCGCGGGATCGCAAGTCTGGAAGGCCGTCGGGCAAACCTATCTGCACCGAAGCGCGGCCGCTCTCACTTGCAGCCCTCCGGGGACATTTCTAGAGTCAACTATGGTAGGCAGTTTGCCGCGTTGCCATCGTAATGTGATGGTTGCCGTGTTTTTAAAACATAGAAGGCGACTATACCTCATCGCATACTCCATCACGGAACACTCGAGAACAGAAATCTGGATATGTACAAGCTTTGAATGGGTTCGTATCCTGAACTGTACAGTCGCCACCATCATATCCGCATTCTGATCGATCACATTCCTTATCACATTGACCATTACCCGCTTTGGTACGGCAATTGCCGCATATCGAAAGAATACCACTAAATATTGAAAGATTAACAAACCAACGTGATAAACGTAATCGTAGAGAGAATTATTGGTATTATCGTCAAATATAGTATAACTATGCAACAGTTACTTGTTTGTGGTGTTGACCGTCACAATACGACCGAACTCCACTTCCTGACACCGCTGCCCAACAAAACCCGGAGCACATTTACATACGTAACCGTTGACACCGTCTATACAGGAGCCACCGTTGAGACAAGTCCTAAAGTACCAGCCCATAATTTCCTGAGGTTTCAAATTAGCGAACTGAAAAATCCTCTCCGAGATAGAGCCCGACAATGAGCACAGAGTGCGTTGAGACTTTGCGTCAGCGTACTGAGGCGGGCCAGCGTTCAAGCGTCTAGGAGAGCACAGGTTTCTTAAAGGTAAGCGTTTGGAGCATAGGCTGAAATGCGCTGACATACGGTCAAAACGTGAGCTGCCGTACGCTCAGAATGCTGACGCAAAATATGAACGCAAACTCACTCCCATCCTTCGCTCACCATGACGAAAATGCCCGCGTGGAGAACTCACCTCGAGGAGCACACCTCGATACGTTCCTCACAGGTCGTGCCCTTGTAGCCACGAGGGCACATACAATAAAAAGTTCCAATCTGGTTCACACATGTGGCGCCATTTAAACATGGAGATGTTAAGCACTCGTCAACGTCCGTTTCACAGAATAATCCTGAAAAACCATAAACTGTAGTGGAAACCGTTGTCTGGAGGTAAAAAAGGAACGGACCTGTAAAGTTAGGCGGGCACTCGCACCTGAATTTGTTCTCAGTTGTATTACAAACACCACCATTGAAACACGTGAGTGGACCATCTACATCACAATTTATCAGCGGTGAACGCCAAATATTACAAGTGGGACCGACGTGGTCGTCTCGACACTTGCACCGGAATGAAGAACCCTGAAAGAAAGTAGTTGCAATGTATTTTTTCAACCGTGACACAGGCAGGAGCTGGTTGAAGTTTCTCAGAGCTTTCTCGACATCCAAGTGTTTGGGAGCAGTCACTGGTTTTAGTTACTACACCTAGTGATTCCCCCCCCCCGTCAATACTTCTGAGTTTTCACCTTTTCTTCCTACCGTAAGCCTTCCTGTCACCATTCAGGGCTGTTTGCCCCAAAAAATGACAGATCGGCCAACCTCTCACTCAATGAGGTTAACTAATCATGACCGTTCTAGATGTGATGTATACTCCTAGCTTCCAAATCTGCATAGTTTTCCTGGGAACAAACATGGGAATTTTTCGCTTGTGCTGTACAGTTGCGGCGCTTTTGTGGCATCTACCTGGGCATGTTCTGATGGCGCAGCTGGTAGGTGTAGCGTTTGACGATGGTAACATCAGGGTTCAAATTTTTGGAACGTTTTTGCTACTTTAAACGGTGAAGGCTGCAAGTCACTTTCACGTATCTTCTGGGCCATCCATATGAATCATTCGTTTATGCACTAGGACTGGTTTCTGGATGAAAAATCTGATTTGTTTTCAAAGTGTATGTGTACTAGCGTAGCAGACGGCAGAAGATCTTTCGCGCAAAACGAGTGAAATATCCGTGTTTGGCGGATCTGATTACCCTTGCGTACGAGTTTTAGCCAGTTCTGAAATTTTGATTTCTGATTTTGATTTCTGTCCCAAAAGCTAAGTAATTATGGCTGAATAGCGTAAGCAGGAGGTCTTAGGGCCAGCCAGTCATCCATAGGGGATCTTCGGATGGGATTCGGATTCGGAACAATAACTAAAGTGAAGCAGAGTCAATCGTAGATTCCAGGAAATTGCAAGATCAACCTTTCTCGAGTAAAATGTAACTATCTGAATAGGTATGCATTGTAGGTGGATCAGTGAGTGTACTTGGAAACAGAGCAATAAAATCTTGAGCACGACGCGGACAGGCAAGATATGTGTTCTTGTCTTCCAGAAACATGACGAAATCATACAACGATAGGTTTGAAAGAGTTACCAGCCCTCTGGCTCCTGATTGGCGCGGAGAAACCAGTCACTATCTCTCATGATTAGCCTTTTTCCAAATCAAAGACAAACCTCGCGATTACATATGTTGAACCGTGGCGTTCACGAAACGGAGCAAAAAAAATGTGGAGAACATCTTAAGAAGGGCTACTGGTAGCCTCACTGTTCCAAATATAGTTTCCGGAGCAGCGAGAGAAACCCAAAAAGTGGTGTAAAAACTGAACGCGAGACAGGATAGCCTTTCAGTCATGGTGGGAGCAATTGATGGGGG